TCTAGTTCTGTGATCGCCTTCAAGCTTTTTGTGGCTGTGGGGCAGGTGGGGTCTTCGGCGCAATCCTGACGTCATACCTCCGAGGGTACTACTGAAAAACTACTTCCTCTCGCCCCTCTTGGTGGTGCTTCGTGTTACATTTGAAAACTTGGTGCATGCGTAGTTTCGCGCCTCACGTCTCTCTTCTCCTTTGTTTTTTTTGTTCTTGCGGTCTGCAACGCTTCATATCCCGCTACTTCAATGTAGACCTATCCACCACCCAGTCGAATCCTCCCCCCCTTCCGATGTCGGCCTTGGTGACTTGCGTCATGTGCCTTGGTCGTACTCACTCGTGAATGAGTGTTCGTTGTTGTTTTGGCAGACTCTTCTTCTGGGCTCGCGAAGATTCGATGATGGTGTTGGATTTTGGTTAGTTGGGCCCTCATGATACCACATGTCGCCTCAGTGGGATGGTTTTCTTTGCCAATCGCGTAGGACTAGCTCCTACCGTTTGCCTTCTTTGGTAGTACGTAGGATTGGAGCCGGTGCCTCTCATATACACAACAAGGTTTTTTCGTTTGAGAGACAGCCGTGGCCAGAAAACATCAGGGAAGACCCACAATTCCGATTCTTGTTGTCGGTGTACTACCGATGTCGTCTTCGTCGTTGTTCGACTATGGAACACAACACTACGCCATTTCCTCACACATCTGTTGTAGGAATCTGTTGTACATCTGAACATACATCTAATACAACATTATTTTTTATCTCTACGCCGCCCAAACTTCCATTTACAGGCTCGCCAAGGTCTTTTCGTTGCCCTCTCTCGGTCCTTACCTACCTCTACAACGGTTGGGCCGCCTCCCACTCCCTCTGACACCGCACTTGTGTGGCAACTTCACGTGCTTTTAAAAAAACAGCGCCAACGAGCTGACCGAACACCCATCCTCTTTCCAACTAGAAGAAAGCACTCAAAAGAGGAGACAACCGACTCCTGCCGTTGTCGAACGAGCCGAGAGTAGACCGGTGGTTGCTTCACCAGCTCTCTTCAAGCCACCGCCTTATTTTCATCGCTCTCGGGCGAAACACATCCAACCAACCACAACAGCCAGGCCGCGTAGTTTTAGTGGAGGTTCAGGACCGTCTTCATCTGGTCATACATGACCAGCACCAGGGCGGACCCGACGGTGCGGAGCGCGTTGGCCCCCGCGCCCTTGAAGAGAGCGGCGCCGCCTTCCTCCTTGATGATCTTAGCGAAGCAGTCGGTCGTGCCGTTGTACAGCCACTGGGCCGGTGGCTGCGGCGGCCAGGCATATTCATAGTTGCGATAATAATGTTTATGATCAATGGGGGGGGG